GAGAAACATCAATCAGCTGCCTCTTGCACACTCCCCACTGGGGATGTGCCCGCAACCAAGGTACATGCCCTTGACCGGAATCGAACCTGGGACCCTTGAGTCTGCAGGCCAACACTCTATCCACTGAGCCAAACCGGTTAAGGCAAAATATTTTTTTAAAAAAGATCAATGGGAAAAATATCCTCGGATTAAAAAACAAAAACAAAAAAAGAATCGGAGTGGTTGGGGGTGGGATCTGAACATGGCAGCGATAGTAACTGCTATGGCGCTGAAGGACTGGGGGGCGGGGGGGGGGGGGGGAAAGGCCCGCCTTTTTTTTGCATTCTCCAGGGGATTCTCTCTGGAGCCACGGCTAACACAAAGCTCCCCAGAACAGGACCCGGGCACGGCAAGGCACAGTTCCCCGGAGTTCAAGGAAGAGCCTGAGCCCCCATCTCCTGAGCTGGAAAACATTCCCAGAAAGAGGGGCGGGGAACCCCATGAAAGCCGTGGGAGTAGCCTTCGCCCTGGGCTTCCCCTGTGGTATCCTGTTCATCCTCACCAAGCGGGAAGTGGACAGGCACCGTTTGAAGCAGAACCTGCGGACATCCTAAGTGCTGATGGGCACTTAGGACTGACTGTGGCCTCCAGACTGCAAAGTCATTTGGGTTTGGCTGCAATTCTGGCCATGGCCTCTGAGGTTCACCAGAGGGCGAATGAAGCCCAGGCTGCTGCCAGCCCTCCTCTTTCCCCTTGCTTTCCCTCCCTCCACCGGCTCTCCCTCCCCACCCCTACCTGAGAAACCAAATGCAAATACAGTTATTGAGTGTTTTGAAAAAGAAAAAGAGCCGAAACCGGTTTGGCTCAGTGGATAGAGCGTTGGCCTGCGGACTGAAAGGTCCCAGGTTCGATTCCAGTCAAGGGCATGTACCTGGGTTGCAGGCACATCCCCAGTAGGAGATGTGCAGGAGGCAGCTGATCGATGTTTCTGACTCTCTATCTCTCTCCCTTCCTCTCTGTAAAAAATCAATAAAATATATTAAAAAAAGAAAAAGAATTGGAGTGGTAGGTGAGTATCAGGGAACGCGGTGTCTTCGACGGAATCACGATTTAGTGGGGTTCAGATATCAGAGGCCTGGGCCGTGGGGGTGATAATGAATGGGAGTTTCAGGTTCAGATTTCAGATTTTACTTGAAGTCAGGTTCTTTGTTTTTTATGTTTGTTTTGGGAAAGGCCAGTGTAATGCCTGTGGAGACGCACGGGACTGGAGCTTTGCAGACCCTGGACAGTAGGTGGGTTGAGGCTCAGATGTTCACTGCTGGGGACAGACTTCAGTGGTTCTCAACCTTGGCTGCACATTAGAATCACCTGGGAATCTTCTTAAAATCCTGATTTCTGGGCCTCATCCTCCGGAAATTCTGTTTCTTTGTTATGGGGTGGGGCCACAACATTAGTAACAAAGAAACAGAATTTCCGGAGGATGAGGCCCAGAAATCAGGATTTTAAAAAGATTCCCAGGTGATTCTAATGTGCCACCAAGGTTGAGAACCACTGGACTACATTATACCTTCATCCAGCTGATCCTAATCTAGTTCACTCCTTCCTCAAGGTATTACGGTGGGGCCTTGATTTATGAGTGTCCCGACTAACGAGTTTTTTGAGATACCAGCTGTCTCTCGGCTGATTTTTTGCATTGAGTTGATAGAGTAATTTGAGTTAACGAGCTCCTTAATGAGCTCGGTCTCGGAACGAATTAAACTCGTAAGTCAAGGCCCCACTGTAGTTAAAAAACTCTTTGTCAACCAGCCTGTGTTGTTCAGTGGTTGAGCATTGACCCATGAACCAGGAGGTCATCCTTTTGTCAGGGCACATGCCAGGGTTGCAGGCTGCTTCCCCAGTAGGGGGTGTGCAGGAGACAGCAGTGGATGATTTTTCCTCTCATTGATTTTCAATTGTATCTTTGTTGTTGAAACTATTACATAGGTCCTCCTTTCCCCGCTCTCCCACCATTAACCTCCTCCAGTCCGCTCCCGTCCACCCCTCACCCCACCCTCACCACCCCATTGTCTGTGTCCACGGGTTATGCATAAGTGCATACAAGTTCTTTGGTTGATCTCTTCCCACCCACCCTCCCCTGCTTTCCCTCTGAGGTTCAACAGTCTGTTTATGCCAGTGATGGTGAACCTTTTGAGCTCGGCGTGTCAGCATTTTGAAAAACCCTAACTTAACTCTGGTGCCTTGTCACATATAGAAATTTTTTGATATTTTCAACCATAGTAAAACAAAGACTTATACTTTTTATATTTATTTTATATATTTAAATGCCATTTAACAAAGAAAAATCAACCAAATGAGTCCACGTGTCACCTCTGACATGCATGTCATAGGTTCGCCATCACTGGTTTATGCTTCTGTGTCTCTGGCTCTATTTTTGTTCATCACTTTATTTGGCTCATTAGATTCCACATATGAGTGAGATCCTGTGATATTTATCTTTCTCTGACTGGCTTATTTCACTTAGCATAATACTCTCCAGGTCCATCCATGCTGTTACAAATGGTAAGAGTTCTTTTTTATTGCTGCATTGTACTCCATGGTGTAAATGCACCACAGTCGTTTTATCCACTCATCTGCTGATGGGCACTTAGGCTGTTTCCAAATCTTAGCTGTTGTACATTGTGTGGCTGTGAACATAGGGGTGTATCTATTCTTTCTGATGAATGTTTTGGGTTTCTTAGGATATATTCCTAGAAGTGGGATCACTGGCTCAAATGGGAGTTACATTTTTAATTTTTTGAGGAAACTCCATACTGTTTTCCATAATGGCTGCACCAGTCTGCATTACCACCAGCAATGTACTAGGATTCCCTTTTCTCCACAACCTTGCCAACATTTGCCAAATATATTCTCCCATACAGTGGGCTTCTTTTTATTTTATTGATGATTTATTTTGCTGTGCAGAAGCCTTTTATTTTGATGTAGTCCCATTTGTTTATTTTCTCCTTAGTTTCCTTTGCCTTAGGAGATGTATCCATAAACATATTGCTATGAGAGATGTCTGAGATTTTGTTGCCTATGGTTTCTTTGAAGGTTTTTATGATTTCACGACTTACATTTAAATCTTTTATCCATTTTGAATTTATTCCTGTATATGGTGTAAGTAGGAGGACCTGAGTATATAAAGCAAATATTGGGGGACATGGAGGCAGAGATTGATTTTTCCTCCTGGGATTTCTGTATTTTGGTTGTTGATTTGTAGGACTTGGGGAAATAGGGATACAGATGCTTCAAGATCTGTGACTTAACAATCTTTTTCCCATCCTATAGACTGTATTTTCCGTGATGTCATAGAGCCTTGAATTCACAGAGCATACATTTTGATGATGACTAATTTATTTAATCTCTTTTTTTGTCTTGGTGTCATATCTCAAACTTTACTGTAAAATCCGAGGTCATGAACATTTAACCCTATGTTTTTATCTAAGTCAGTGGTTCAATCACCTGCCCATGAGAGTCCCCCGCTCAACACCAAGGTTTTTTTGTGAGAAGGGTGTGTAGTGAATAACAAATACTTACTGTTCAAAAATCACATTCATGATACATTTTAATACT